TAAAAACTAGTTTTTAGACTAAATGTTACAGATTTGAACAAATACATACAAAAACATCAAAATTAACACAGAAACAGTACTATATAACATTTTAGACACATTCTAGACAGTTTATCAGCTAAAAAAGTTAATTTTGGGGTAAGTTACTCTTTAATGGGTAAAAGTTTTAAAAACATCTTGTGCGATCAGTTAGTGCTTGGAGTATATACTGTATTGTCAAATTTTAGCTTCAGCAGTAAAATTGTCTGTAAACATACATCCAGTGATTCCTTTCTGAGAGTTTCATTAAATTCTTCCAGTGGTTCATGATACTTTACAGACATGTGCTAAAACATCACCCTTTCATCTTTGGTGGCCGATACTTAAAATGGGTTGTTCAAAAGAGCAATATGTAACAAAAAGTATATTAATAGTTTATAACCTTTCCCCAGAACCCCCATTTGGAAGTATCTGCACAGCTGCTTTAGTGCACCCCAGTGGGTGTTTTTGTCTCATGTCTGTTGGCTTCACACTGAATCTGATTTAATATAACCCCACCGAAGCCATGTTGAGCAATGTTACATCAGTTCAGTCTCAGAAAGAACTTAATTATCTCTCATTCATCAACACAGTGTTGTGCTCAGTCTGAAGGGTGGCTAAAACTTGTGATCTCAGCGAGGGAGAGCTCTGCACGGATGCTGAGAGCCTCCAGTCTAAAGAGGAGAGCCCTCCTCTTACCTTGTACAGACAGAAGGTTACTCCTGAGCTGGCACCAGAACAAAGCCCTCCAACAGCTGCTTGATAATGTGTTCATTCATTACATTGTGTCTCATGTCTCAAGTCTGGTCTGTGTCACCGACTGGAGCCACTTCTTTATTTAGTATGAAGTCATTACATAAGGAAGAGTTGCACAACTTTAACTCCAAATACAACATGGTTTATGATGATTTCATGTGTGTATTATGCAGAACCTCTCCTTTGGGACGTTTTTATTATTATTATTATTATTTGGTCGGTTGTATTAAGTTATTCAGCTAGTTGTGTTTATTGTTCATTTTCCCTAAAAAGCAGTTTTGTATGTGTCTGCACGCAACAGGAAACCATTTCGGTTAAGTCAGCTGTGCGTCTGACTCACATTATGACCAGAGGGTCGCCAAAGTAAAAGACGTGATTCATCGCAAACAACTCAGTTCATCTTTTTTGGTTTGTTCTCGGTTTTCTTTCATTTTCTGTTGCGGAACTAGACGCAGTGAAAATATATTTACACAGAGCACTTTATGCCTCCTTCGGAAGGATAAACACAGCTTCCCGCTTTCATTTAGGCTCCCACTTCAAGCTAAATGGTTTTAGGTTGTTTGAGAAGGGATGATAAGCTGTAGCGCGGCGCATCATTGTTCACCCTGGCAATGTGGGCAGCATTTGTGAAACGTCTGCTTCTGCCAAAACGAAGTGTCACGGACTCGCAGAGTGTTCAGTTATGTCAAATGTTGGACACAGAGTGCCATGGACACTTGAGTCTTGAAAGGGAAAGCTGGGAAATTCTAAATCAACCATGTGATTCTCAGAAATAAAGTTCTTGGAGTTTTCAGTTGGAATTCTTGTACTTTTATTTTAGAGGAGTTCAACTGCTCCAGAAAGTTTGATTTTTGTTTTAACGCTAAGGGGAAGGGAAGTAACTGTATTTTACTATTCGTTTGAAACACAACATATATTGTACATCTGAAATAAATAATCAAAATGGGAACATAAGTTTCACCTTGTTCCATTGTCCAATTTCCTGAGTAAAAAAAAACTGTTAGTTGCTTTCTGTATGACATTACCTGAAAGGTGGGTTTTTCTGCACCAAGTAAGCTGAATACAAAGAGCTCACTGTTAGATGTTTGACCACGCCGGGCATTAGTGCCTAACTGCTTCCTCTGCAGTTACTCACCGAGTGGATGACCAAGCAGTTGGCAGGTATGTCCGCTTCCCACCACTGTCACATGCTCGCACAAAACACTACCCTATGTGTCCAGAAAACAATGCAACATTGCAACAACAGTGCACACACACACTGTGGTGTTGGATGACACGTCTTTGTGTTCTTATGAAAGGCTGATGCTGCAGTTTCAGCGCACAATAACAAAAGGTGAAACCCAAAAAACTTGAAAGTATTTGAAAAGAGTGTGCTTGGAAACAGTGTTCTGAGAGAGGTGTAGCTTTAGAGGACACCCAAACACCATGCTCTTTGTGGATCATGTGGTTTGGAATAAATTATTGATTATTTGGAAGAATTATCCATAAAGCGAGATGCCTAACAGGCACCAGGTGGTCCCTGCTAAAGCTAGAAGAGGGGGCCCATGTGTTAACATCTACTTGTGGGATTTTTACCTTTCATTAAAAGTGCCTCATGTGAAGAGAAGCTTATGGGGCCCAGCAGATCAATTTTACACAGAGGGTCTTCTCTGGGTTAATACATCTCTGCCCTGAAGACGGATGCATCTTTGATAAGAACATCTGTAGTAGAAGAAAGAGTCACAAATAACCAGGCAAAACAATCTTGTTGCAAATAAAAACAAACAAAACAAAATAAAAATAGTAAAATTGCTTTTTCCATGAGAATGCAGTGAGAATGCTGAATACGTAGCATTTGCTAAAGAAGCTGAAACTGAGCTATTAAAGCTAGAAAAAGCAAAACACTATCTAAAAACTAAAAATGCACTTAAAGTAGCAAAAAGGAACAAAACAGTTGATGAAAACTGGAAAAAGAGTAGCTAAAAGTAAAAATACCCAAATGGTATGTAAAAGTGGCAAAAGGCTAGCTAGAAGCTAAAATTAACAAAGGGCAAGCTAAAGCTAAGGTGGGGAAATGGCAGCAAAGGTTAGTAGCTAAAAATAGCATTATGCTTGCTAAATGTTTAAAGGAGCTAGCTAAAGCTTGAATAAAGAACAATATTTTATTTGGAGATCTCACACTTCTATTGGAAAGAAATTCAAAACAAAGATTAATATTTTCAAAATTAAAAACTTTACAAACTCCAAAAGTCATAGCACCTATCTTCTGAATGAGCTGGATGTTCTTATTTATGAATGTTCTGATGCATCTCATTATTTATGAATGGCTAAAATAGCTGAATGGCTAAGATGTACAGATGAAGTTAGGTAGCAAAATAAGAGCAAACCTCTGCAGAAAACTATAACAACAACAAGAAAACAACTGACAATGTATAGGTTAGAAAAAGTAGCTATTTGCCAGTATGAATGAACAACCTACCTGTATGTCCAACACCAGGGGCTGCTCCTGCCCTCCTCTGCCAGACGCCGTTGCCAAGGTTTCCGTGTACGCGCTGCCTGCACGAGCGGAGCCGCGCCACTGTCATACATTAGTGCCAGACATGGCGGCGGAGCTACAACCCGAGTGGATTTCTGCTCTCCCGTCTTCCTGGAGTTATGGGGTTACTCGGGACGGCCGGGTCTTCTTCCTCAAGTAAATATTCCTTCTAAAAGACGCGATTTACGTGCGTCTTATTCGTTTCTGCTAGGAACAAAGTCAATTTTATGTATGGTTGTAAAAAAAAAAAAATCCCCTCTCCCTCTCTCTCTCTCAACAGCGAAGAAGCCAAGAGTACAACCTGGCTGCATCCAGTTAGCGGAGAGGCAGTTATAACCGGACACAGAAAAACTCCAGGTAAAGATGTCTCCCTCTCAGCGTGAACTGTCAAGTTTCTGTTGTCTTCGGTGTTTCTTCTCAGTCACGTCCACCGCCGTCATGTGTCGTTGTTGTTGTTGTTGCTGCTGTAAAACCCGACTCTGCCCACGCTGAAAGCAGAGGGAAGCGCTGGCATTCACGCCGTGTGCCTATTTTGGCCGTGCTCGTGCTGTGTAAAAGTGAGCACCCCCCTCGTGCCCACCACTCTGCCCGCCCGGGCTCGTGCCACTTCCACCCCCCCCACAGGAGCCTCCTCCTTCTCCTGGCTGGTCAGTCGGTGAAGTTGACGCTAGTAGCTAACGTAACTGGAGAACTTGTAGCGACGCTGTTGGCAAACACAGCGACCGAACTAATGTTGCATTCGTTTTTGTTTTTAGCGTGAATGAGCCGTCTGCTGATCAAATAATGCGTTTTTTTTTTCTTTTCACACGGTGTTCGCTCACCAGTTGAATAAAACGAGCTAACCACCGTGAAGCTCCGTAGTAAACACCAGCAGCACTGCTGTCCCTATGTGCTCATCTGTGCTGGCTAAGATTAGCTGCAAAATGTACAAAATTACTTTCTATGCCGCGTTCCTGTCAACAAACAGCGAATTACATGGTGAAATTAGTGCTTTCTGCTGGTAATGTTACCATGCAGTCACATAATGTATGCTGCAGCAGTCCTCTGTGGAAACTTCAGCCTGCAAAGCATCCTCAGAAATATTACTGAGGACCTGCATCATCTCAACAAAGCTGCTTTCAGAATGCCTTACTGTACAGAGTACTTTTAATTGGTATGTTTTATATAATAACACCGACGAGCTGCACCATGTTGGAAACAGTGAGTATTGGGGGGGAAATAAGAATGCAAAATTAACAATAAATTAAAAGCTTCAAATATTTTAGAATAATATGGGTAATTTTATAGGCTAAATTCAATCAAGTGGCATGGTTATTTAAAAACACTGGACTTATTTTAACTCTTTGTGTAAACCATTATTTATTAGACTTTTTCCTACGTTCTAATAGTTTAAAAAAGCTATAATAAAAGCATTTAAGCGTAACGACTTCTCTTCTGTAGGGCTGTCTCCTAAAAAAAGGCATTTTCCAATTTAAATCAGTTTTTATTTTATTCATACAGCATCGGTTTACGGAATTCAGAAATCACGTTTCTAATATGGCTTCCTTTGGATATCCGAAGCTTTCGCCCCTCATAAGTCTCACGTGACGGCACAAATCTTTTTTTTTTTTTTTGGTTTCATATCTGTTGAAATTATTTCTAAATGAAATCAATTTGGGATTTTGTGAACTGGAATAGAAACGATTTTGTAAAACAGAGGCATGGCTCGCTGTGAACACACACAGCCGTCATGGTCCGGAGATCTTTTGAAGAGGGAAATGAGGTTGTTTATAACACCGGCCAACTCTCTGTGACATCATCGTTTCTTTTTATCTCTCCTCTGTCAACTCCAAGTCAGAGATCCAGCATTTCACAATCGTTGCAGCTCCTGCCCTGCACTTGTCATTCTAAGCATTGTTTCAATCATTTAAGTTTCCCAACAAATTAGCTGCGTTGCCCTGTGTTGTCAGAGCCCAACTATTGTTATATGAGGCAGATTTATCTCCTCGATCAGGCATGGAATCCCTCCTGAAAACAAACGCTCTAGTTTTTCTTATGTAAGAAGAAACACAAGAAGAAGTTGCATGGTGCGACAAGCTAATTTGCCCGACATTGCACTTCCTTTGTTGTCTTTCTTGAATTTAGTCTTAAACATTAAAAAAAAAAAATGGGATTACCGTTTCCCAGAGCTCAGTGAAAGTAGGACTTAAACCTAGCAGGGAACTACCTGAATAAGTAATTGATATATCTTTTACTTTTTTTCCAAGAAAACCAGATAAATGTCCCTTGATTGCAGTTTTTTTTTGTTTTGATGATTCTGTTTGTCTGAAACAGTAAATGAAAAATGTTTGAGTTTTGAACAGCTGCTGAGGCGAAACAAGAATGCCAGCTTAAAATATTTGCTTTTATTTTAATATTTGTCATAGCCTCTTAGTCAAGGAGATTAGACGTACAACTTGATGTTGAAGAGAACAATATGTGGCAACCCCTTAAGACAGCCGTGATATCTTCAGACAGTTTAATTTTAGAACTCGCAGTACAAAAAAATGGTCTTGTCATTTTCTGACTTTAAAGCTGCAAGTGTTCAAAACCATCACGTTCGAACCACCAAAGTTGAATTTTCTTTTTTACTTTTTATCTTGAAATCATTGAAACTGAATCCTTTTTTATTTGCTTGGTTTTGTAAAACCTATATTTGTGTATTTTCCTGTTGTGAAATGTCTGCTGGGAGTTAATATCCTTTGATAAAGAATGAGAAAAACACTTTTTTATTATTCCTTACAAGTTTGTGTTCACATGCTGGTCGTTTCTCCTCGCAGACCTACCCACAGGATGGGAAGAGGGATTTACCTTCGAGGGAGCACGATGTTTTATCAAGTGAGTTTAACAACCTTTTCCAAGGCCCACACCTTACCCCCCACCCCAGCTTTGACTCCACACATGTTTTAGGATAGGATAATAAAACGGAAATCACAGTTTTTCATTATTGACACCCCATCTTAATGCTTTGATTATAAACAGAAAACTATTCATTTTTACTTCAGTGACCTCAGAAATATGAAACATTCTCTTAATCTCTCGTTGCCTCTGAAAGTTTGGACGGTGTTGGCAGTAAATATTGAAGGGCTGTAAATTCAGAACCTTTACTCCCCTTTTCTTTGCTAGAGGCTATCGCACAAGTTAATGATTACACAAAAACATAATGCAACAACCCACACTGGGTTAAGTGTGAGCTGATTATATTTAGTCAACTCTAGGTTGCTCAGAACTTACCTTAATTGAACAACAGCTTGCTTCCTTCCCTTTACTAACATTCCTCATCATTGTTTGGGTTTAAATCATTTGCTAGATGTTGAGAATGATCCTTGTACTAAAATGCATACACATTGTCGCACTTTTTTACTTTATAGTGCGGGTGGCCTTGTGCAGAATGAAGCAAAAAAAAAAACTGTAAACATCATGTTAAATCTGTATATACTGTGTGAACTTGTGCAAATATATACATTTGTGTAGCATCTTGGTAAGTTGGTTTGTAGAAGTAGGCTTTAGCAGCGCTGACATTCACGCAGGGTAAATTACTAGGGGTGTAAATCAACAGATTTATCACGACACAATATTAAGTTGGTTTGTTTGGATGATGATACAGTATTTCTTAATACTACAATGTCTGTCATGATTAGGGCTGCCACAAACGATTATTTCAATAATCGATTAATCACCGATTATTTATTCGATTAGTCGACTAATCAGATCATATGTTAATTGAATATAAAACATAGAGCTTATCATGTCAGAATGCAGCTGCTATTGTATAACCATGGTTAGATTTTAGCTATATGCTAACTAAAAATAATTGCTGTGGAAGGCAAGTTCTGCTCTGCAGATATTACACAGGTTTCTCTTTCATTTTCTTAAAATGATCCCACACTTTGAGCTCTGTTGTCAGGTAGCCATGATACCAGAGCCTGTCTGTATAATGTCTTGTGACGTCCACGGCCTACCCCAGTTACCACTGCTGTACATGTGTGTCAAGGACAGAAAGGCAGATGTGGCAGTGGAAGGTGTCAAAGCAGTTTGGAGAGAAAAACAAATTAAAGAACAAAAAAAAAAGAAAACGATTAATCAATTATTAAATTAGTCATCGATTATTTTAATAATCGATTAGTCGTCGATTAATCGATTAATCGTTGCAGCCCTAGTCATGATACAATTTTGATTTAATTCAGTTGACAAGTCTGTGATCGATTTGATGCAATATCATATGCCCATGTAATGTAAAGGATTGTTAGATGGGCGTATGACTCCACATTGAGCTTAAGATGACAATCAAAAAAGAAAAAAAGGATGACAATTTGGATTTTTTTTATTGTGCCCCTATGTAATTGAATCAATCATTTAATCGATAAATCATATGTATTGTTACAACCCAATTAATCACTGTAATGCAGCACAAATAGCAGCACAAATACAATCTGTTAACCAGCAAAGAAAACCTAAGCTAGCGCTAATCTCAGCTGCTGCTTTGTGATGCTTTATGATGATTTTCTGTTTCACGTTTTTGCTTAAATTTTCAGTATTATATATTTTCCAGGCACATAGTTCAATTCTATACCACACAATCAAGTAACTATGTTACCTTCAGTTGTTATGAAAATGCCGTATAAATCAAAAAAAATAATTGACTATGCAACAAAGCATCTAAATGTCTTGAAATTGGCCTCTGTCTCTTTAAGAACCTCCTACCATTTCCTACACTCCCACTTCAGCACGTCATCTCAAAAGTGCTTGGAGGGAGGGGAGCTCTGTGGGGCTGGAGCTCAGCTGCAGACTGAGCTCCAGGGAGGAGCTTTGTACAAATAGGCTGTGCCTTGCTTTTCAAATGGCTACCACAGGAGATTCAAGGATTTCTCAAACATGCATGAATGAGTCAAAGCAACAGTGTGGATTCAACACACGGTATATTTTTGATGAGGGAATGATATATTTTTATTTTGCATAATACTCCCCCTTTAAAACAAATATGTTCACACGCTTGAGATTTGCAGTAAATTAAAGTTTCCTCGCCCCAAAGTTCTGCAGCTGGAAAAAACTAATGAAACAGAGGCTTCTGGTGTAGAAGCATGTGCTACTAAATCTGCTATGTGGCGATCTTTACATTATTTCATTTTCACCGAGCCGATTGGATCAATGTGAAGAGGGACGTCCATATTCTGACAGTAAAGCTGAGCTCACCTTTGTTCATCGTTTCCACTTCGTAAACCTTTCAAAATAAAGCACGATAGCAGAAACAAATATCAGAACGCTTCAAGTTTTTTGTTTATTATTATTATTATTATTATTATTATTATTATTATTATTATTATTATTATTATTATTATTATTATTGATAGTGGGGTGGCGGGCAGTAGGTGTTGTGTCCAAAAAAAGCATCTCAACTGGAAAAACACAACTTGGCGTGTCACTACTTGGTGATGGTGTTAAAAAAAGAAGATGGCCACAACAATTCTTTAAATTTGTCCATTTTAAAAAGTTTTGAATCACTTCCCTGTCATATTAGCTTCTTGAAAGAGTGTCCCGTTTTGCAGTGGAACGTTAGCCACTACTCTTTGACTTCAAATGAAGGGGTAAGTGTAGGGGTAAGCGGAGGGAATTCAGCCCACATACAGTATCACCACAATCTGTCTTCACTGGTCATTTGTTTTTAACCATGTGGGACTCATATAAAATGTGTAGTGTGAAGGGCTGTAAATATTTCTGATATTTACAATTCTATTTCCCACAGAAGTTTTGATTTAAAGTCTTATTTTGTTAATTTCTGTTTGTGTATCATATCTAGAAGTGTCCCTTTTTTTTAGCTGCGTGACAAAACTAATGTAATATATCCTCCATGTCCACTCAAACGCTCAGTTCAGTTGGTGTCCCTGTTCTGTACAAAGCGCAGCCTCCACCCTTTTTATTTTTATCTACCTTCTACATGCCTTTGAACTAAAGTATATTTCACATTCTCTTCTCTCCCATAGTAGTCGGATGCATGGCGCTAATTAAAAAAGATCACAGGCGCTGTCACACAGTCAGTACAAATTCATCATCTGCCCTCCAAATCCAAGATTAGGAGTGAAATGTTATTTTGCATGTTCTCCTGAGATACTCCCCCTCACGCTGCATGTATAGATATTTTGTCGACAAACCTGCCAAACACCATAATGCCACTGAACTGATGCTATCGCAGATGAAGGATATTAGGCCTTTTTATCCCCTACTGAATCCCTTCTTTTTTTTTTCGACTTCCTTGTGAAGCTTCTTCATGTGGCAGTTTGCCAGGCGGTCGGAGGGAAAGGCAGTAATTTTTGTATTCCGCTATTTCTCACTGCAAAACAGATTTGGGGACCACATTTATTAAGTGGATCACTATGATTCTGACTCCGTTTGGTGATGCATGCCCGCTGCTTTTTTTTTTTTAACAAGAGGAAAACAATTTGATTCATGCAGCAGCTGAATTTTAAATAAGGCTTAAGACAAAACTGAGAGAATAGCATTTATTTTCGAAACAAGGCCGGTGAACACTGTTGAATAGAGTCACAGCGAACGAACCATCACCAAACAACATGCTCGCAGCTTGGAAAGTGCCTATCTGTGTCTCTAATTTAAAATACGGAACTGAGTGAAAACCAAACTCGGAGCTCCCCACACGGTGCATCATTAGATGCACGACGTTCTCTGTTTGTGCTCGTGCGCTAATGCACTCTGTACGTTTTCAAGGATAATGAAAGCTGGTGCATATTTCGTGGGTGTAATGCACGAAATCAGCCTCGTTCTGATAAAGGCTTTTCCACACACGCTGCGTTTTTATTTCTGACTTATTTCTCCAGCTTGTTCGCTCGGTCCCTTCTTGTTTTTTTTTTACTCACCGAGAGACTTCAAACTTCTAGTCATGTGGTCACTAAAGCCAGACTCATATTAGACGGCTGCACGTCAGTCCAAAACAAGATCAGTGTTTTACTGGGATCACGGTCTCTTAAATGTGTTGAAGTTTTAAATAATAATAATAATAAGGCTGTGTAAAACCACTCCCCTGTTAATTTCATAGTGACTCACAGTTTTGACATGAGATTTGTTGACAGGTTTATGTGATAGCTGTAACTTTGGTCGTCCCTGGGACATTTTGAGGCTTCATGTGAGGCTGCCAATAAAAGCCTCTGAGAACGCTCCAACACCATTAGCCTGCTGACAACTAAAAAAGCCTGTGTCCAACGTTTTTCACTCAGTCATTACTAATTTGTCATCAATTTTACATGTATTAAAACATTAATACTATGTTTTCTGTTTTTCTTTACATAAAAGAAGTATACAAGTCTTAAAACAACAACACACAACAGATTTCCTCTATTAAATACAGAACAACTCGCTGATTTGTGTCGGTGACTCTTTCTTAGCAAATGATGCAGAAAGATCTGGCTTATTCACACGCTGGCTGTGTGATTTGGCTGTTGTCGTCGGGGTTACACAGTGTGAGCATCAAGCAGCAGATTGTGCTGACGCAGGCTGTCCTCTTTTGGGAGGTGCTGAGAAGGATGAGTTACAGGTTTTTGGTGTGACAGTGTAAACTGGAGGCCCAGTTCATTGTAAGGCTTGACTGAAGTACAGCAAGTTGTGAATGAGAAATGGTGGAAATAGAACTGTGTGGCTGTATGGCTCGCACTTCTTATGTTTTTTTTTTGTATAGCCAATCCTACACTGACAAAAAAAAAAAAAACAACACAATGAGATCAGGAAGATTTAGAAATTTCAAGCTGTTATTTATTTCTTCATTTTTTATTACAGGAAAACTTAAAAATCTGTGTTGTGAATGTGTTGCTCCAGGGCTTGAAGCAATGAAA